GTGTTGTTTTTCTCTGCGAAAATTTAGCCCCTCCCCCCCCCCCCCCCCCAGTAAAGCACACATCCCATTGACACATCTACACATGCAATTAATGCAAAGCAATAAACTCTGATGCATAACATGCTGGAGTTTGTTGCTCCCAGGCATTGAATTGACACACGCCCCCAGGACTTCAGGATGTTGAGCCAGGTTGGAGCATCCCAGGCCTGGCGGGGTCAGCCTGCCAGCCCAGGGCTGCTCCAGCCCAGTTAACATGCTGCAGAGAGGCTGCCTGGGCATGGGGAATGAGGGTCTCTAGTGCAGGGCTAGCCAGCAGGCAGCCATGCCCCGCCAGCCAGGTCACTGTCTACACGTGCACTGCTACAAAGTAAAAAAAAAAATCTGCAGCAGCATAGTACTTGTATTTACAAGTACTAACATGCTTTGGCATTTATTAGTTCCCTGCAAGCTATTAGGGCCACACATGTAGAGGCTAAGATGTTTATTGCAGAGCAGATTACAACTGCACTAAATGTCTCACGTAAATGCACTCTCTAGGCAGTAATCTGGGAAATAAATCTACCACATTTCTGTAGTATCATTATGCAGTATTCTTCTCTTTTTTTTATTTGTATTCTCTAAAGTTTTGTCTGATGCAGCATTTAGCTGCATTTACAATGGTCATTAAGTGTTATGAAACTCCTCGGTGTGGGGGTGGGGAAAGCCCTTGAAACTAAATGAAACTAAATGAAATCCTTCATGAGTCAGAAAGACATAAGCATAAGTTCCAGAAAGAAAATGGACATGCAATGGCAGAAAAGCAGGCTGGACATATTTATATGTGAATGTAAATATAATTATTGAGACTTCAGGGGCCATGGGCACTTGACACTCCAGTCTTTGGCTTACAAATCTCGGAAAAAGATTGAGCAACCAATTCCCTGTAGACAAACAAGAATGGACAGGCTTCAATGTTTTGGGAGATTTTTTTTTTTCGCAGATGAATGAAAACAGATATAATTTGCTACTAGATGTGGCATTTGTTGATTATGAGGAAGTACTTAATGCATTAGGGGAAATGTGTTAGGCTCTGCAAAGCCAAGGCTTGGAGAGATTGTGTTAAACTAAGATGGATGCATTAATAGTAGACCTCTAGCCTCCTCTACTGAGAATAAAAATAGATAAGTTATCATAATAAAAGCAGAAGTATTGCAGAGACCTAATTACCAGGCAGAACTGAGTCTCCAGTGAGACAATATTCTACAGCAGTAAATGAGAGAAATGATGTCTCGAGTCTTATGTTTTCACTTTGCCATTCATGAACAGTATGGAAGAAATTGCAAAACATATTTTTTCTATTTTATTAAGTGCAAGCATAACTCTCATTTACAGCAATGGGAGTTGGGTACATGTGTAGTAACATATACATTATACCTCCAAATGCACATGGTTGCTCTGTTTACAGAGCCAGGTGTTCGCAAGTTCTGGTAGAATCTAAATTTCAAAAGCACTCAGCAGCCAGCAGCTATGTAACAGGCTGAGTGGGGATTTATGGTTCAAGTCATTTTTTTTAGTGACTGTTTCATTTAGGTCCCTAAATATTTAGGGAGTATAGCCGTAACAAATCTGATCATTTGTTCATTTGTCTTGATATCAAGAATGTGTATATCTAACACTGGTCGGGTTCAAACTAACTCTTTAGTTGCTTGTCTGTCTTCAGTATTCCCTGGTCTGCTGTGAGAAGTCTAGCATGCTTATAAGGTATATGTGCTCATATCCGTGGCTACACCCTATCTGAGTAACGCATGGGTTTGAGAATTGTATTCACTCTACTACATTACTTGATAGTTGTTAAATCTTAAGCTGATCAAACCAATTTTCTACAAACTCAACGGTTTTCTCTTCCCTCCACCATCTTTATAAGAAGCAGAGGACAATACTGTATGTCAGGAGACCAGAAACCTATTAAATAATTTGCTTGGTGGCTATAATTTCAGTTTCTTTTCCCGGGAGCTTCACTGTTCAATGTTCCCTCAGAAGCCACGTTAGTGTCACTCAACTAAAATTAACCTGTACTTTTCATAAGGGAAGTTAGTCATTGCAGCATATTCTTTAGCTTATTTTCACTGGTTGAAAAGTATTGTCTCTCTCTCTCTGATCCTCTCCCTCAGGGATAGTCTTGTCTGGAGATCATTTGCCATTCCCAGCTACTTGAGGGCCTAAAGATTAAAATAATCTCCCTTGCAGTTCTTTGCCCAGAGTCAAACAGCTGTTGGCTGTCCTGTTCAGAGGGCTGTTCTTATATAGCATCTCGAAACAGGCTTTGTACTAACACAGCCTCCATAGCAAAAAAAGGCACTTGATTAGGGTTACGTCATTTGCATTATGTACAACTCTGTTGTTATACGTTACTGTTCTGTGCTGAAAAGAGATGCTTTTAACAGTCATTTTCAGACTTGAATGTGTAATTTATCATACCAAATGGCACTAATCATTTTTGTTTTAAGCACAAAAAAAAGGGGGGGTATAATGAGCTTGTCTGTAGTACCTGACATTTCTTTTGGTGTTCAGGGAAAACAGAATATTTCCCCTGAATATCAAATGTAATGTGGTTAGATGTTGTTGGGTTTTTTTTCCCCAATATCAGACTTAAAGATTCAGCTTAATGATTTTATTTTTTTTAAATATTGAAAATGCAATACATACCCCATAGCAGCCTTTCTTTATAGTCACAGGCCCAGATCCTCCGATGGAGTAAATTGCATAGCATCATTAACTTCTCAGATCGGTGGAGAGGCAGATATTTACACCAGCTAGAGATTTGGCGTATGCCTGAGATGTTCAGGGCTGATTTTGAAAATGGCACTTTTGAACCCATATGTCAGAGTTTACTAACAATTGTAAATTGATCACAAATAGATTTCATAGTGGATATAATATCACTTTTATGGAAACCTGTTGATAAACAGATAGCCAGGTATTTAGTACACTTATATGCAGCCCTTCCCAACAAAAGCTCAGGGCAACTGAAACCAAGAGGAATATTAAGGCCTTTGTTACATGGTCACTTTAGGCAGCTTCTGAAGCTCTTAGGCATGTGACCGGCTGCATGTTAACAACTTTTAAGTGGCTTACAGCACTCTTCATTTAGCTTAATGTTACCCCACTCCAGGACAGTGGTAATTTTGATCCTGTTTTATTAACTTGTAGTCACTCTCTGCAGCTTTTCTGCCCAAGTTCTCCAACATCCCAGGAGGCAATGGGCCTGCTGTGCCTCCTGCCGCTGCTTGCTCTGCCCAGCTCTGTTCCTAACAGAAGCAGAGGCAGCTGGGTCCGTGCAGGGGAGGGAACTGTGTCACCGCTGCTGCTCAGACCTGGCTCCCATCCCTGCTGGGAGCAAAGCCAGCCAGGTACAAGCAGGGGGGGGAGGGGCTGTGTTGTTCAGACCTGGCTCCACTGCACACCAGAGCAGAGCCAGTTGGGCCCGA